ATTACAATAATTTGGCATTCTCGAAAATGAGTTAAAATTAAGGTGATATACTGAAATACAAATTTTCGTGTTCTTCAATGAAGCAGAGAATTTTGTGCATTTCTGACATTGACACTCAAATCTGTAAATAAATCACTATTGTTGTAGAGTGCTTTATCACTACAACATGTATTAATAGCCGTATGGTCAACGTGAGTCTTTGTAGACCCAAAATACATTGCAAAACTATTTCTATCTTCCAATTCTTTGCAGTGTAAATATCATAATTAAAAAAATATTGGTCTGGAAGGATGTACACTCGCCTTATTCTTTTCAAACAATAACTTTCTTAAAATTGGTCCAAATGATTTGAAATTTTTTTAGATGATAGAGGGACTAGTTTATTAGATAACGACTATAATACTTTTCTTTAATTTTGCTATTACTTGGAATGACAGAAATATAAAAACTCATGTTTTTTAACATTTTTATTTGAGCCTATAAAATGTGTGTTGTAGATTGGTAACTTATATCGATTAACACAAAGCCAAGCTCCAAGTGTTGAAAGATTTTAAAATTATTAGAGAGCAGATTTCTGAGTTATTAGTCGAAAAATTGGGACAAAACTGTGATTCTTGGATCTTTAATCGTTTACAGCTTATATCAAGGTCAACTGTTTCGATAAAATTTTCAGTATGCATATAAGTTATCAGGATCTACAAAACGCATTTTTAAAATTTTTATCATAGGCTCGAATAAAAAAAGTTGAAAAAACATCATTTTTTAATATTTTTATCAATTGCAACGATAAAAAAGTTTGTTTACTTATTTTCTAATAAACTAGTCGAATTAATATCTCAAAGAAATTTAAGTCATTTGGATCAATTTAAAAAAATTATTCCATTTGAAAAACTATCAACGTACTTCCAGCAGCGAGCGTATAAGTTTTTTCAGCTGCCTAGAAATTTGTTTGCAATGTTACAGTTTTTCGATGTACGTATATGAGATAATTGTTAATGACATCACTCTGCACATCGTTCTTACGGAAAACGAAATTAAGATTTATGGGTTACAGTGAAATACAGATTGAGGTAGGAGACCTGTCGTGTTTACAGAAAGGTCTTGAGCGATAATTGACACCTCTGAACAAACGATTTAACTACCTAATGAAATCAACTATAATTAAGATAAAAATACGTTTAAGGAAGCAAACCTTATAATAATTTTGTACACGATATTCAAAAGATACTAGCCCTGGTAAACAGTACACAATCAATTGTTTTATCATGATCCCTGTAGAAACTACTTACTGTACTAAATAAAATAGAAATTAATATTAAGAGAGAAAAATATAGTCCTATGATCATTAAAACAATAAGCAGAAGAATAGATCGTATCCGAATAAAATGTTAACACAGTAAAGAATATTTTGTTTCTTATTTAATTCAATTGGTTGTAAAAATTATAGAAAATTATATAAGAATTTTTTCACTTTGTGGATAAACATAAATATTCATATTTATAATATTTTATTCGAATTCGGATTAGATTGTTATCTCTTTCTTTCAATGCAGGTGAAGATGTGGGAACAATTTTTAATACTGATATTTTCTTTGTTTGATCAAATACTTTTTACCAGGGATAGATTACCTTTCCATATTCAAAACAAATACAGACATTTGCCAACTGTCTGCATCTATTTAACACTGGAACAACTACACAGAATAAAATGACCAATTCCAAATTTCTTATTTCACACTGTGAATTTTATGCAGTTATAACAAGAATGAGTAGATAAAATTTAAAAGAGCAGAAACACATAAAAAGAAGCAGAGGGAATTGTATCTGCCTTTTTCCCCTTGTAATTAAAAAACTGTTGTTTTACGTAAAGATCATTACATGAAGATCGTTTATAACTGTTGAAATGGTAAAGGTTCTCTTGTTGGAGTTTATTAAATAAACCAATTTACTACTGTTGGTTCCAGTGTTAATATCCTTTTGTTTTCACAGAAACTATATTTGTTCATCGAACAAAACACTTCACTGCGAACATAATTTTAAAACAGCACCATCGTAGCACCAAGTACACTCGAAGAAACAAGGTCAAAGGAAGCCATTTGGTCACACACCAGTTTCCAGGAAGTGTGAACATCGCCACAATAAATGCTCACAGCTAATTTGGTCCTAGCTCGATCCTATGTATATGTACATATGGCTTTAGTTCACTGTTCATGCCTGGAATTGGAATGTACTATGGGAGTGGCCAGGGTAAACCAGAAAAATCCACTGGGCCACCTAAACCAGCGTCAGCTTCTAGGAGACTCATAATCACTGCCATCGCTGCCTCATCATTGCCATCCGAAGGAACTGGATTCGGTGATTCATTTATAGTTGTGCCACCGATCATGTCCATCATGTCTTCGTCTGGTGAGGCTCCTGCAAGGAAGGAAATGTTACGTTATGCAATACAGTTGTTAACTTGACAATGTAATATAGCTTGACGAAGCAGAGTAGATGGTTTTAGAGAAGAATGTTTAGGATGAGAAAGGAAAAGCTAATTGTAAGGTGAGAGGAGATTATGTGAGTAACTGTTTTAAAACCATTTACTCTGATATGTCAAATAATATTGTTTCTAATCCTTGGACAAAATATAGCTTTCAGAATTCTATTCTTCAAATCATTATTAGAATCAGTGTATTGTAACAAGGAGACATTGTTGAACATATATTTAATTGAAGATTTTGTTAGTTGAGGTACATACTACTGTTGGTTATAAATATTTGATTCTGCATACAAAGAATTTTTTTCAGTACAAATGTAACATATTAATGTAAAATGCAAATGCAGAATTAGAAAATTCAATTGATTCGAGAAAACTAAATTACTTTTAGGTGTTTGGAATACTTTCCAACAGCTTTTCATTTTTGTAATACTTTGTCATGCTGATAAAAACGATACTTAAAGGAATTAAAATAGCAAAATCTAAAATTTGAAAAGCTTCAATTAAAAGTGAGGTATTAGTTTGACAATGTTTCCTTGCTTTTGAATATATTTCCCTATTAATTGTATACAGGAGGTTAACTTTATAATATGTCACACCTTGTCCAAGGTCCATATTAAGACTACTTTAAACGTTAATGCTCTAACAAACCAGAATTGTATTGTGGACTTGATTACTAGATGTTCAATCCTTTGGATGATCAGTCTAAGTTCGAAAGGTTTACTATCTATGTTATGCCAAAAACAGAGTGTGCAATATTGCATTATTTGTAGAAAATAGTGTAATCTATGTAAAAATGAATATAATAGGAGAAGAAAACAATGTGTTGTCTTGGCTGTTCAATGAATGTGAAGATCGAAAGGAATCATGTAAACTATTATGACAGAATATTCTGAATTTAGGAGATGAAAATGATAAATGTCAGAAAATTTCTTCTTATTTCCTCGAATCAGTGCTCAATTTTCTTATTCTCTATTTTATAAATAAACAAAAATTCTGATTTTTATGTTAGTATTTTATTTAGAACATCTATTTTATCTCCGTGTTCTTGATTATTAAGCAGAACATTTTTTAAATCACTATGCGAACAATTTTCTCAATAGACGCTTAGTTTACTGGATCAAATACTTTTTACCAGGAGTAATATTTACAATAGCAAAATTCATTCGCCCTTGTTAGCTCATAGAGAGAACAAAGAATTGCGTCAGGTTTGGGAAAACTTGAGAAAACAGTTCGTAAGCAGCTGGCGAACTACTTGCAGACAGTTCGCGAGCTGGTCGCCACCGAAAACATCGGCATGTTTGCATTGGAGCTCGCGAACAGTTATAAGCTTGTTCGCTTTGACTTTATGGTCAGTTACAAACGCGTCCAAATACACTCCGAGCTCGCGAGCAGTCCCTTTGATGTACCGCTTCCCGAACAAACAGTGTTTGCTGTTCGCTGAGGAACTCGCTGCTCGCTGTTCACTTTTCGCGGGTGTCCACACTGCTAGCGAACTGTTCGCGAACAACAGTGTGGACCCGGTATAAAATTTCCTTCGAGCAACCAAATCGTTTTTCTTTTTTCGTAAATCCGGCGATCGCACTACACACCAAGAAACGACTCCTTAGAGACAGTAATAGCTATGACCTTGGTCGTTCGCGATGCTGTTCAGCTGCAAGTTGTTTGCTATGTGGTTGTAAGTTGGTGTTGGATTGCTGCTACTGTTACTGCTACTTCTAGTTACTTGCGCCACATCCTGAAATCTCTCGGGCGATGCTGTCGTAGTTATCTGTGGCTTAAAAGAATAACTCATTATTAGAAGACAGACAAAAATTATGAATAGATTAAGAGTCTCCTAAGTGTGAAGAGTCTACGGAATTGAATTATTCGATTATTACTTTGATCAGTTTTAGAATCACTTGTAAGAAGATCACGTGTAAGATCAGAGGAGATTGTTTTTATAGTTTAATAAGGGTGTAGGTGAAAAATGAGCTTGAGCAAAATTTAATTGGTATTGGCAGAAAGGATAATTAATACGTATGTAACTACCTCGGTGTTCATCAGAGATGGCTCTGGTCCTGGGCCAGGACTGCTGCCAGAAGAAGAGTCATCCCCGCGCCTTTGAAGATCCAGAACCTCTTCCGCTATTTGTCGTCCAATTTTACTTACCTCTATGTGACTTGAGATCAATCTTTCTAATCCACCATTACCTGGAAGAAACGAGATCTGTAAATAAGTTTGATAGAATTTTTGCAAGAATTAAAAGTGGGCGATTATTAATCTCGGATCATATTTTTCATTCAAATCGATGCCGTTTTTATAGATAATAAATGAATAAGAAGTAATCGATCACAGATAAAAGAACGTCTCTATGATAAAGTGCTTACTTTGCGTGAAATAGTCATAATTTCCTTGAACGCTGGAGTCCTCAGACCTGGTTCCACTATTTGTGGCTGATCGAGAGTCACAGCTGTATATAATAATTATATTGAATATAAATTCCATGAATAATTATATTTTGTACACTAAGTAAGTTATTCATACTTACGAAGCAACTGAATTCTTAGCTATAAGATATTCGATGTCTTTGGTCCATGGATTTCGGAAAGATTTCCACTCGGACTGTAGCCTTACGAAGCTCGCACCCTTGGTTCTGAACCTGTATATCTATAACAAAGAAATTTGTAGCTAGTTATGTTTGTAACTTGCTTCCTAACTTTCTCAGTTCTAGACATTAGTACTTCCGAGTTAACATTGTTAGAAAATGTGTAGGATTTACATTTCTATCTATACTCGTGCATTAATATTACAGCAAAGCACATTATACTCATATTTAAATTTTTTTTTCCGGAAATTAGTTAGTATAAGAAAGATGCAATAGCTTAATCATTAAATATTACTCAAAGATATTATAATTATCGATGAACTTTGATAGAAAAGTTAAGAGGAGATAGAATTTGAGATTTTCTATTAGTGGATTTAGTTATTTAAAAATGAGACTCGAATAAGTACTTGTCTAAAGCTTTAATAAATTACAAATACATGTATCTGCAACGTATTAATAATGCATGTTTTAATGAGAATGGATGACAATAAGAATATCATTTTTTTGCTTATCAAATTGTGCAATTCAATTCATAACAGTCGCACTTTACAATCAAAGTATATTTATTTAAGCACTC